TAAGCTCAAGTTTTTCCCTCATGACCTCAACAGACCGTTAGGTGTTTTCTCCTTTATCCTGCCACTTTCTCTCATATATTTCATTTCAATTACCAACATTTTTCTCTTGTAACAATTTCGTTATGTGTCTATCTTGCCACCTTCTATTAAATGTGAGCTCCTTGAAGGCACAGATATGTTACTTAACTTTGTTTTTGATTGCTCACTAAGGTCTTTGACATGTATAATAGGAGCTCAATTTAGAAAAATAGTTCACATATTAAAATTGGGTTCTTTATTAATACTGATCAGTTATATTGCTAAAATTATTTAAGTAAACTCATATTTTGTGATATTTAATAACATGGTTAGATAAAAAAACATGTTTAGATAAGTGATCAAGAGAGGAATTAATAATCATGAAAGCTGTTAGACTTTATTTGTTGTTAGTGGCTCACTTCTACATATTCTTAGTCATGGAAGAGAAATAAATGGCCTATAAGTAACCAGTGTTCAGTAAATTTCTTTGAATATACTTCTTTTAATGTTTACTATATAGTTTCTGCTGATAGGGAAAGAAGATAAATGATGAGATGCAGTTTTCTTCCCTAAGCTTTTTTTTTCCCCCTGTAGAAGACAAGTCTCTGATTCTGTGCTTTCTAAAGTATGGTTCCTAGACCAATGACCTCAGCATCACCCTGGTACTTGTGAAATCCAAATTCTTCGACTCTCCCTCAGTAACTCTGGAGGGTGAGACTCAATAACCTGAGTTGTAATAAGCCTTCCAGATGCATATTATAATTTGAGAACTATTGCTATTATTTATCAGTAAATTTTTATGTCTTTAATGATGTTATCTTTATATGGTATCTTTATTTTATTAATTTATTCATGAGAGAGAGAGAGAGAGGCAGAGACACAGGCAGAGGGAGAAGCAGGCTCCATGCGCCGGGAGCCTGACATGGGATTCGATCCCAGGTCTCCAGGATCGTGCCCTGGGCCAAAGGCAGGCGCCAAACCACTGCGCCACCCAGGGATCCCTGTCTTTTTTTTCTTAATAGCATTATCATAAATACAGTATATCCCTACTTAAGTAGCAAGTATAAGTTAATTAAAACAAAATTCACTGCATTAATAAAATACTATCCCTTAAAAGTAACCATTTTAATGGTATATGGCATTTATGCAGTATTTTGTAGAGCTTAGTAGGAATTCACAAAGTGCTTTGAATAAATGAATGCTGGAGATATTCATGGTAAATAGAAAAGTTTAATTTTTAAAAGCCTATTACTATAATAAAACATTTTAGTATCACAGTAATGAGAAATCAGAATTGACTTAATGTGTTCACAGTTCATTAGAGAGCTAATGCTTTCATGTCTGGAAGTAAATAACATTTTTTAGGATTCTGATACTCTTTGTACCTATCTGTGGGCCATATTAGGACCTGTTCTGTGTTCACATCTCTGTTTTGCAATTCAGGCTTCCAGGCTGAACTAATTTCCAAATTCTCTCCAGAGAATTACAGTATTGTTTACTAAGTTGAAAAATTTTGCAATTTTAAATGGAAATTAACTCACTGCCAAATTTTACAAGACCTAAAAGCATTAGAATGTGTGTTTTGGCCACTTTAGCTCTTCTTTACCTTCTTTACCTCTTACCAGGTTCACATTTGCCTCTAAAAAGCTTTCTGAATTTTATTTATTCATTCCAAGCCACTGAGGTGATACTATTTAAGGCATCTTTGAGACATGAAAAAAAATGTATAATGGAATTAAAGCAGTAGCAAATCTATGCCAGATAACATTAAATATACTAATTGATGATAGAAGTGACAATTTTGTTTACAATCTCAGAAGAAATCTATACAATGATTTTTAAAGTTAGCAGCCCTGCTGTTGCTTACCTCTTTGAGAGCTGGGTGGTGGTGTGTGTTAGAAATTCAAACTACTGTTGAGTAGGTTTATCATAGTAGAACCAGCCTAGCAACTAAACAAAATGTAAAATTCAGAAAAGAACGTTATTACCTGGCCATCAGCATATAGTAAAGTTGATGATTGTGGACAAGGAGATAGGGACAAACTTGTGTTTTATGGAATTTTAATTGGTCATGACTTCTTGCAAAAAACAAATAAAGTACAACCAACCGAGCAAAACACAACATGGTGGGATCCCTAAAGTAGTATGAGGGAACACAGGCAAGTGTGGGGACCTCGGCTGGTAGATATCGTTGTGGAGTCATGAAAGATGTATAAATGTTTCTATTAATATATTTGTCAGTGTGTGAATCATTTGATTCAAAATGTCCGAAAAAAATGTTGTAAGCAACAACAGGAGTTAGGCTTGTGAAAAAAATGTATGAAATCATAAATTGTAGTCAGTGGCCAGACTATATTTTCAGCAAAGCTAATGAAAGAAATGTGGTAATTATATCAAAACAATAGCACTGAGACTTAGCTAAGGCCTTTTGAAAAATTTTAAATATTATACTGACATTATTAGAAATTCTCTTAATTATGGACAAGATAGAAGTAATGATAACCATATTTTAAAACACCTTTGTTATCCTAGAGACTATACCATTTTCAAAATTTTCCAGAATGAAAGAGGCAGTGCCAAGTGTAAAGAAAGTTTGACACGATCTAGTAAATATTACTAGAAAATATGAGGTAAAATTTCGTTTTGGCAAAGCCATCAGGAAGTAGAAAGACCAGTTGTCATGGTTCATTTGTCATGGTTCACAGAAGTGAGTTTTTGAAAACATACAACATATATTAATTGTAACAGAGGAATATATTTAAGTTTTGTGCATCCGAAATTGTAATAATAATGATAATAATAAAGGAATATGCATTTACTCACTATCCGTTTTAATAGACCATTATTCATACCTCCAAAGTCACCTTATGCTCCTAACCAATTGCATCTCTTTCTATAAAGATAGCTGTTAACATAGTTTTCTATTAATCTTTTTTTCTTTATAGTTATACTATATAGTTTTCTTTATAGTTATGCACATGAATGTATCCTTTAGCAATAAGTTGTTTTATTTTCCTTGTTTTAAACTTTATATAAATGTAAGTATAACTGTGTATTGTTTGAAATTTGCTTCCCCCCCCCAGTTGGTTTTTTAGTTTCACCCACATTGATGCATGTGGCTATAGATCATTAATTTTCCTTGCTGCAAATATACCATTGTATGCCCATAACATTGTATGCATATCTGATCTAATGTAGATGATATTTAAGTTGCTTCTAGTTCTTAGCTTTATTACAGGGAGTGTTGTTATGAACATGTCTGTACATGTCACTTGGTAGACATGTGCAAGAATTTTGCTGGCGTACCTAGGAGTTGGATTACTGGCTTGAAATTGCATGTTCAACCTTGTTGGGTCATGCCAAAGTGAGTGTATAAATGTTCTCATGACTTTACATCCTCATGGACACCATGTCAAGCTCTAAGAATGATAACCCAGCTACTCCATGCCTTTTTTCATGGTCTCTTTTATTGTGTTCAGCTGTTAGATTGACTTCAGGTCAAATACCAAATTTTCCTTAGATATACAGCCCTAGGAGTACCTGTTTTACAGTTGACAGTAGAGGTAACATCATTAGACTAAGTCAAGGAAGAAATTATCTGTTTGAAGTGAGATTCCAAATGTACGTTTAAAATATTTCTGACATTTAATAACCAGAACATAAAGTTTTATATGGCACAAATTTTGTAAGTTCTAACATGCCTGAGTCTTCATTATAACAAGTAGTTAATTTATTGAAGTAGGTCAAATATTTATTTAAAAAATAAAACTCAGTCCTTGAAAAAGACAACATTTTATTTCTAGCAAATGATATATTAAGCCCAGAACTTAACGTTTATGATAGTAAAATTGTAACTTTGGTATGTTTTTAAAAGTACTATCAAACCTTCAAAAAGAGTTGCCTGGGCAGCCCAGGTGGCTCAGCGGTTTAGAGCCGCCTTCAACCCAGAGCCTGATCCTGGAGACCTGAGATCAAGTCCCGCGTCGGGCTCCCTGCATGGAGCCTGCCTCTCCCTCTGCTTGTGTCTCTGCCTCTCTCTCTCTCTCTCTCTCGAATAAATAAATAAAATCTTTAAAAAAAAAAAAACAAAACAAAACAAAAAGAGTTGCCTTTTCTTCTCTATTCCCATTATAATTAACCTAGTGCTGGTCTATTTCACAGCTTCCTTTCTCCATGGTTTTTTTTTTTTTTTTTTTGAAGACCCTCAAAATTGGATCCCTGTCACTTCAAATACAGAGTTTTCTGCCTTGTTTTCCATTTTCCAGAAGTGCTATGAAGCACTTCAGGTGAATTTCCTAATCGCCTTTGAGGACAGTAGCAGTATGCTATAGTGGAAGGGACCTCAGGGCCATGGACGTGGGATCTCATTCTCTTCTGCCAGTTGCTAGCTGAGTGGTCAGAGACAAGTCCCTTGACTTCACTGAGCCTCAGTTTCCACAGCTATCAACTTCAGAGTGTCCTCAGATTTTTAGATAAATATAAAGTACCTAGTAGTTTAGTGTCCCGTGGTTAATAACTTCAGTGTGCAGAGTAAGCACTGTACTATGCACTTTACACATATGTCTTTGATTTTTAAAATAATACTGCAAAAAATAAAGCAGAGGAAGCTGAGACTTGGGATGATTAAATAAATTGCCCCCATCCCATAACTTATAAAGGATTGAGCCATTATCCAGTTCCAGGTCTGCCTGACTCTGGAGGCCCGGTGCTCTTGTGACTGGCCATCCCAAAGCGTCTGCACTCGGCTTTTACCACATTATTTCTCCCCTCTGAATTCTTTGTGACTCTGTCTCTCTTGCACATTTTTCATTTTATTGTTTTGTAATAGTTTCATACAAATAGGGTTACTCTTGAAGACACAGACCTTTTTGTCTTTTATTTCTCACAGCCTAGAGTATCACACACCCCTAGAGTACTCAGTAAATATTTGATTACCTCTCACTGAGTTTCACCAGTTTAATATTTTATATCCTTTTTTATAGCTCATTTCAGCGGCCACGTGGCACTCTCCATTTGGATGATGGTGAATACTGGTCCAACAGGGCAGCCTCTTATAAAGGAAAATCCCACCGACCCGTCTTTGAGAACAGCATGGACAAGATATACAGGAACTTATACAAAAAGGCCTGTAGTTCCGTTTCTCATACACAGGAAAGCTTCTGATACGATCCATGATAAACTGTATGGGTGTCTGTGTCAACTTCTCAATGAAAACATTTGATGTGATCAATATCTGTATTCTTTTTTTTTTTTTAACAGGTGGTTCTGAGTACCGTAGTTAGAAGTGAATAAGTTCATTGCTTCAAATGGTAAATTATTCTAGGCAGTCTTCTTTTTTTAATCACAGGAGAGAGTGCTCTCTGTTCTCAAAGTCAGAGCTCTACATCACAATTACAATTTCCAATCTGATTATGAGAATGATGTTCAGCCACACGTCTCGGGTCTCCTACAAATCCAACAATAGATTCTCTCTAGAAATGGTCTTCTGCTTTAACCACTTTGCGATTTTCTTTTAATCTGTTTGGTTATTTTGTCTAAGATTAGTATTAACTCCCTTTTCTTGGTAATGAGCAAAAAGATATACTGTACAGAAATGAATTTCCTAAGTTTAAACCCTGTTTTAGCTGGTATTTTCTCATTTCTCCCCCCTAAAAAAGACTATTTGCACTTCTTAGCTAGTAAGATATAGTTTTCTTTTTAAAGTTTATATATAGTCATTCACTTCCTCTTCTCTAAAAGAACTAAGTTACCTACAATTCAGTTAGCTAGAAATAGCAGTGGCCATGTGTGACCCAAAATGTGAAAAACTGATTTTTAAAAATAGAATTCTTTATGTGATTTTCTTTTAAGGCCATACCTTTTGGTGCAACCAGAATCAGAAAATAGCTTTTATTAGTAAGCATGTAGAGACTCCAAGAGAATAAAGGGAATACGTTGTAATTTTAAACTCTTTAGAGTTTTCATAAGTACAGAATGGCTCAGGAAAGTAGTATCTTTACTTAAAAGACACTGGGAACCATAAAGGAAAGTAAAATATTATACAGAATGTATTGTCCTGGGAAGTCTGGTAATTGATAAAATTAGCTTTTCTCCATCCTCCATACACACACCTGCAAGGCCAGTTAGTCTTTGAAGATACGAAGAAATCGGTTACCTCATATTTACCAGAATAAGTGGAGGGAAAGCAGAGAATAGAAAATCAGTAAACTTGGCTTACAAGGTTGAAGAGTTGACTACAAGGTACTGTTCTCTCATTGACTCCACCTTTGGTTAACTCTGTAGTTATGATTTAAAAGGGGAAGAAAGTGGGACTCCATTTAAGTTGAAATTCACATGTGAAATTGAGTGACTTGTTTTTGTATTAGGAGAAAATATATAATACCTGTTATCTAATAATAGGATTTTTAAACTTCATGTTAAGAGTGTTCTGGTATGGAAAGTGATGTGTTGTGATGTGTTGGAAAGTGCATCATCTGTGATGTGTTGGAAAGTGCATCAAAGAAAGGGGCCAAGAGGTTTTGGCTTTAGTTCCATCTGGCAGTTTTCCAGCTGACTCTCTTTAATTCTCTGGGCCTTACTTTCCTCAGCTATCAAATGAAGAGAATAAAGTGGATCAGCATTTCCCAAACCATGTTCTGTGGACCTCTGTTCTGAGAGATGGCTGTAGTAATGTAGATACAGGTATTTCATTAGTCACATAAGTTGAGGAAAATCTATGCACTAGACTCACACTCCCTGACTTAGAGAGTCATAGGTAGGATGGCGGGAACCAAAGGTAGTGCTACTGATACTGGAACAGCGGTTCCAAACTGGAGCTGTCCAAGCACACTACTGTTCTAGTCATAGTAAACACTAGCCTGTTGGAGACACTAGAAATCCTAGCATAAACCTGTTTGGCTATAGCATCTGGTTTGGAGTCTGACACATAGTTAGTTCTCATTAAATAGTTTTTGAATTAGCCTGAGACTTCCTAAAGTAAGTGTGTAGCAGTACTTGTCATTATGGCAATCCTCCCCCTCTCCCACTCACCCCCTCAGCTACCCGCACTTCCTTTCAGATGTGCAGTCTGTCCTCAGGTCCCTGACACCAAGCAGGGAAATGGTATATACGCGATCACTGAGTTACTCCCTAGCTGTAAGCTGTAGGATGATGTTTTGTACAATGGGTATTTAAAAGTCAACATTGACTAATGCTTTTGGGTTTTTTAACAAAAAATCTTGTCAGTGAAACTTAGCATGTTTTGGTTTTGTTTTTGTTTTACATGTGAAACAAATGAAAAATTCTTCCATTTAAAAGATCCTGCTTGGTAAAATAACAAATAATGAACTTCAAAGAAAATTTCACTGTCCTAGGAAATCTCCCGAGTGAATAAGTACATCAAAAATTATCTATTACACCTATATCTGCCATTGGCTGTACAAAGGCCACAAAAAAAATAGGTCTCAAAGGGGAACCTCAGAATATGATATTCTAAAAGACATTTTTGCTATGGATTACATTTGACTTCTCTCTGAAGGATCAGGTGTGAATTTGCATATATGTTGTGTCTTGGCTTAGTGTCTATTTCCATTCCCTGGGTGGGGGGAGGAGTGGTCTTTGTTGCTGTCCCTAACTACTACTATGACCCTTTAAATTCGAATAATTGTCTTTTCTCATTGTAAAAAGCAGAAAGTTGCAGTTGTTTATTTCTTTAGCCTTTTAAAAATATTTCTTATAATCTAGTAATAGTTATTGGACATAGTATGAAAGATAAATTGATCTTCTTCCTTTTAAGGTATTTTCCTTTAAATAAAAAAAGTCACCTGGGAATTTCAGAAAAGAAGATGTCAATTCAATTGAGATAAAAGAGGTGTGTGTTTGGACAGAGTGAGGTCTGCATGGTCCCACTACTAGTTATACAACCTTGTTCAAGTCATGTATCATCCTTCTTGGAGCTCAGTTTTTTTATCTGTTAGGTGATGAAGGGGTTAATTTAGAAGGGACTTTTAATGTTCCAACACTTCTATAATTGTGTAATTGATTAACATGGAAGATAAACCAGTTCTAAGCAGCAGAGTTATATTGTAACTTGAAAGATTAAGCCCCTGATTAAAAATCTAGAGCAGAAAGAGCATTCTCATTATTGTGTTCATTTTCCAATAATAGCTTTATTGACATATAATTCATATACTATAAAGTTTACCCTTTAAAAAGTATACAATTGCATGGTTTTTAGTAAATTCGCAGAGTTGTGCAGCTATTACCACTAGCTAATTATAAAATATTTCATGACTCCAGAAAGAAATCCTGAACCCATTAGCAATCACTCCCCATTCCCTTCTGTCCTCACCTCCTGGCAATCAGTAATCTGCTTTCTGTCTCTGTCCTCTTCTGCCTTTTCATATAAATGGAATCATACCATATGTGACCTTTTGTGTCTGGCTCCCTTGACTTAGCACATAATGTTTTCATGGTTCATCTATGTTGTAATGCGTGTCAGTATTTCATTCCTTTGATCATTAAATAATAGTCATAATGCAGCTGCACAACACTCAGTTGATGAGCATTTTTACTATTCTCACTTTCGGGACATTATGGAACGCACTGGCATGAACGTTTGTGTATGAGTTTTTGTGAGGACATATCTTTTCATTTCTCTCATTTGTAAACCTAGAAGTGGAATTGCTGAGTCATACAGAAACTCTATGTTTGACATTTTGAGGAACAGCCAAACTGTTTTCCAAAGTGACTCCACCATTTTACAATTTTTGTGTGTTTTTTTAAATTTTACCTTAATCCTAGGCTAGTTACACATTCAAAGCATTCATCTACCCATTTGTCACATATTTATTGAGCACTGTGTTTGATGTGTATAAATTTGTTAAATGTACCTTCCCACAAGTGTGAAGAGTCTATTGAAAAAGACAAATTACAATGTATTTCAACATTTACAGTGGTTTGGTAAACTTCTACAGTAGAAGACTACAAAAATGGGGATAGGGCATTCTAGCTTGGTGCAGAACTTGCAAAAGGATGAAAATGGGGCAGGGGGGGAGAGCATGATTGTTCAGGAAACTCCCAAGTGCTTTTCACTGGAGATGGTCTGCAGGGATGCAAAAGCTTTGGTAGGATATGTTGAGTGCAATAAGAGAACTGCAAAGAGAATGACAGGCCTGGAGCAGCACTGGTGAAAGAGGTGACCTTTGAGCTGGACACTGAAAGATGGGAATGACTTTTGAGAATAGGAAAGCAACATGGAATAAACTAAATATTGATCAGATTTTATGAGGGTGAAGGTGGGATAGAGGGAAATATCTACTAATCAGTTAAAAATAAAGATCTAGAACTTGGGAGAACTCAAAAGTAGAAAGTGGATTTTCGAAATCAGATAAAAATAATGAAGTGAGAGAATTCTTGTCCTAATTTGTACATGACCATAATAGGTGCCCTGACATGAGTGAACCTCCAGCAGTGGCATTTCTTCCTTATTGTTGAGGCCCTGGTGGTTAACATGTTAGAAGGCTACCCTTTTAGAAATTAGGAAAAATAATAGAATTATATTTCTTTTATAATTAGGAAAAATAGCTAAAAGTTCATGTGCATAATGAGATAAGAGAGGAAACCCAGCTTTCTCTTAGGAGTTATTATGAGTGATACACTTAGTTTAATAATGTAAAATTTCTTAGACAACCAGAACTGGTGAATATTCATCCATTTACTAAGTATCATTGAAGATTTACTCTGTTCCAGGCAATCTGCACAGCACTGACTGATCAACCAGAAATAAATAAAAACACAGTTCCTGACCCTAGTTTGTGGGAGGAAACTGACATTTACTTATTACAGTGAGAGAAATACTATAATAGATGATAGAAATGGTATAAAGATGAAAAGGAAGTTCTAATTAATTCTTAAAGATGTCATATACTTCAGACAGAGATAGTAACTGAAATTAGCTAGTATTCTATCTAGATGGCCCGGACAGCATAAGCCTTAGAAAATCACTAGGATTTTTTAAGTAAGAGAAATAACCCAACACAGAACAAATATGAGCTTATATACTGTCACACCTACCTTGTTCTCTACAGGTTAACAAAATTAGTTAAGCTCTTATTCTCTTTACCAAAAAGAACTACTTTTGAGGGGGAAAAGGTCTGTGTATAAGATATTCAAGAAAGTACATTTTGCTGTATTTTTATAGACCACAAAAGAACTGAACATGCATTAGTGAGATAAATCAGGATTCTTAAACTCAAGAAGCTTATTTTGACTGTTGATAGAGGGTCAGACAAACAATGAGTGTACCTATGGATTTCCTTATTTTTACTCTCATTATGTTTGATGTAGGCTTTTCTAGCCCAGGAGTATTTCCTCATCTTTGTGTTTCTAGCCCCACAATCTGGGCATATCTTTATTATAGCACTTAACAAGCAATTATCAATACCTTTCTTGTGTGTCTTTTTCTACTGGTCTAGGGCCCTGTTTACTTCTGTATCTGTGGCACAGAGTAGTTGTACAATGTTTGTTGAATGATTGCATAGAAGAAAAAATACATTAAGGGCCACTGAAAACAATACCAAACCTAATTATCTGGATATAAGAAACAAGAAGATTTGATAAGACTTGCTTTCATCTAGTTTATCTATACCTGTAGCCAAAAAGAGATACAAAGGAAAAGATAAGAGAAAAATCCTAGTTGTACCATGGTCCTCAAGAAGAAAGAAATAGTTCATCATTTGGGAGAGTTAGTGTTTATGTAGTGCAATCTATTTTTCAAAAAAGTACTCTTAAGAAAAAAATCATATGATGGCCTTTTTGTTTGTTTCTCAGCAAATGAACCAAGATGTTACAGCGATCAGGTCACTAGGGCCAGCTCCTCTGCTGCTGCAAGGGGTGATAAGTACAGGGTTAGGCAGGACCAATGGAGTTTAATTAAATACCTTCCATGAAATGCAAATTTCATGGTTCCCAAGAAGTGCCTTTAATGTTTTGTCATTTACAAAGCAGTACATTTTTGACAGAAGGATTGAGTAATTCTCCATCTTCTAGCCTTCAGATGTAACTGAGCTACTCACTCTAGAAACTATGGCTCTCTTGATTAATTAAGAGTTAGTGTATTAAGTAAGGTATTATATGAATATTTAAGCAAAACGGTCTCAATGAATTACAGATTTTTTAGACTAATATCTTACACTTAGTATGTTGCGTTCAAGTTATGCCAATTCAAGTAAATGAGCCTGATGGAGAGAATGTGTCCTCTAATTTATATACTATATGAATGTTTACAGGGTATGGGAGGAGGTGAGGGTAATTTTTTAGTTTTTTTACTTCTCCTCCCCATCTAAATGTCATCTTTAAAGTTCTTAGAGTAAGGGAATTAAAGTAATACCTATTTAGGGCCACCATCTGTACTTGGTGATTTATCAATACATTATATTATTTGATCTTCACAACAACCCTATGAGCTTGGGTAGGTATAAGTAATCTTGGTTCTACAGACTGAGTAACCAAGGGTCAAACTGCTATGACTGGCGAGTGATAAACACAGCCAGTAAATGGTTAAGCTTAAATTTGAACCTAATGCAGTTCTGCCTCTCAACAATAAGTAGTTTAAAAACTCCGCTTGTTACAGTTAATAACATTTTTAAA